ATAATTGTTTCTAAATATATTAAATTACATTAAATTAAGTCTCTCCTATTAATTTTTAATAAATATAATTTTTGTTTCCTTCATATTATAATCTGTAAGCATTTAAAATTAAAAAAGATCTTACATCTTATTATTAAGTTCCATTTATATCTAAATTTTCGTAAATATTACTATTTTCACTGCTTATTGAATATTAACTATTTGTTTCTTTATCACTAATTTATGACTTTTTTAAAAAAAATTATTTTATTATTATTATTTTTTTAACATTTTACTTTTATTTAATTTATTTATGTCTCTAATTATTGTATTTGGAGTTTTATATCTGTTTTAACTGACTTTTATATATTATAATTTGATTTTGCCTTATTTAATATTTTTTTTGGTGGAAATATTTCTGAATCTTCTTCAGAACTTGATATATAAGTTTTTTTCTATTTATTTATATTTTATATAGTTTATTTTTTATATTGCATTTTTTTATATATTTTTATATTATAATCTTTGAATTTTCACATAAATATATAATATTTCAATTATTCTTAGCTTTTTTAAATAATTAATTATTTTTATAATAATTAAATTTATTAAAATAGATATATTTTCATAACAACTTTTTTTAATTATATTTAAATATAATAAACTATATATTAAAATTACTAAGATTATACTAATAAATATATAAAAAAAATATTATGATTTTATAAATATATTATCTTATTATAATTATTATATTTTTTTTTATATTTTAAAATATAATTTATATTTAAAATTAAATTTATTTAAAATTTAATTTTATCTATTAATATATATATATTTATTATTTTTAAAATTCTTAGCTTTTGTTTATACTTATTCTTTTTTTATATTAAAGTTTTTATTTATTATCTTATTTAGTTTTTTGTTTATCAGTTTTTTATCTTCATTTTATTATTTTAGTGTTTTATCTAATTTAGAATCATTTTTTTTTATTTTATTTTAATTCCTATAATATATTTGTTAATAAAAAAATTAATTTATCATATTTTATTATTATTGCAAATTTCAATTAGAATAAATTAATTAGAAATTAATAAATATTTACTATTTCAAAAAAAAGAAAAAGTTTTTTATTAAAATATAAAAAATATTTAAAAAAATAATATTTATTAAAATATAAAGCAAAACCCAATTTAAAATAAACAAATAAGCTTATAAATAAACAAAACAAAAAATGGGAAGCAATTGCTCTAATTTATGTTCACATATTGACTAAAATTCAACATCAGAATAGCAAACAGACTAATATTTTATGGCGAATTAATATCGCTGTATGCCTAATTAAGCTCCACCGTTTGATTATATAAAATTAAAAGTGACAATATGGAGCAAAGATTCACATTAATTATTTGATTACGAGAATAATGACAATAAACAAATAATTTTTAAAATAAAATCATCAGGAACATTACTATTAACCCAAAAAGAAATGAAGTATACAAAAAAATAAGTATTCGAGGACAATTTAATAGAGAATGTCCCATAAAATTAAAACATATTTAAAATTATAAAAAACAAAGTAGATAATCATTTTTATCTTCGTCAAATCTTGGATAATTAGCAATAACCAACATCTTAAAGTTGCTGGATAGTTGCCTAATCTGTTTAGAAATGCAAAAACAAAGGTTTTAGGCTTATTTAGGGCGATTTTTTTAAACTTGGACGTTTGAAATTTCGAATTCGTTAAATTTGTGAACCAGGTAAAAAAGTTCAATAATAAATATAGCAAATTATCGAAGAATAAACTGAAGTTGTATCTGATTTAGAAACTATTACTGAATAAATAACTATGAGAAGTATGAAATAACTAAAAGAAGGAGAAATAAATCAATAGAATTTTTAAGAAAAATTCAAAAAAAAGCTCTCTAATAATCTAATAACTAACAATAATAATAGAAACAATTTGCTGATTCCTTCAAATAAAATATAAGATATTATACATAATAGTAATTCAGGAAATATTCCTATGTGTAAAATATGTCTTTCGGAATAACAAGAAGCTGAAAATCCATTAGTTAATCCTTGCAAATGCACAGGAAGCATGAAATTTGTCCATATATAATGTATTTAATATTGGGTAAGGAGTAAACTCTAAAATAATTATTCAAACCCAAACTGTATTGTTCTTTTAACAAAATTTTTTGAATGTGAACTATGTAAAACAAAATACCCACCTAAATTTAATTCTGAAGGAAGAATATATGATATTGTAGAATATTCAAAACCTGATGATGGCTTCCCTTATATAGTCCTTGAAGTTTTCACAGGAAATAAAATGTAAATTTTTGGTACATATTTATTAAAGTTATCTGGAAAAAACACTTTTACTATTGGAAGATCGCATGATGCTGATATTAAAGTTTCTGATATTTCTGTTTCTAGATAACATGCTTAACTATTTTACGATAATAAGACTAACTAGATCTTTATTAAAGATAAAAATTCTAAATTTGGAAGCCTTGTTTTGATGAGAAATGATCTTAAAATGTGTAAAGAAGTTGATAAAGTTTAAATATAAAATGGAAGAACACATATTTAATTAATTTACGATAAACCTAAATCAAATATTATTAGCTCATGTATGGGAAATAATGATAATTATGATAATTTAGCTATAATAAGTGAAGATGAGAATGACTTTTAATATGATACTTAATGATTTTATCATAAGTATATTTGTATGTATTTTTATTTTTTAGCAATATAGTTTAATTATAATTTCTTGTTTTTGTTTTTTTTTTTTTTTCCTCTAAGTTTTAATATTTTTTTTTAATTTAACTATATAATTTATTTTATTATTAGGAATTAATCAAGTCTAACTTTTTAATTTTAATCTGTTTATATTAGATAATTTTATAATATTTTATTTTGTTAACAAAAACTTCTTTTTATTTATAGTTATTTAAACTTCTATTTACTAAAAATGTTTTTTTATAATAAAAGTTTAAATATAATATATTTTTTTTTAATTTTATTATTAAAAGTTTAAATTATTTTATTAAAATTAAGGAAAACTGATATTTCTTAATTTTTTTTTATTCAAATTAAAATTAAATATTAAGTTTCGTTTAAAATGAACAATTATTGAATTTTTATTTATTAATCATTCATAAATAAATTAAATACAATTATATATTATAAGAAAATTTAGGTTAATCCTTTTAATATTTTTTATTTTAAATATTATTTAAAATATTTCTATTTAATCATTAGAATTTATTTAATTTTTTTTTTTCTTATTTACAAGTTTTATATTTTATTTTTCTTAAATAGTTATTTTTATTTACCCTTTATTATTCTTATTAATTTTTAAATTTTATTCTTATTAATAAAAATCAAAAAACTTATTCGTTTATTCCATTTCTTTTATTTTTTAATTGAATCATAACAACTTATAATTTTTATATTATTTTTTAATTTAATTTTTCTATGTTTTCTTATTTACTATAATTACATGCTAATTATATTTTTATCAATATGATTTAAAGCATTTTTTTATATTTATTCTTAATATTTAATATATTTTATCATTTTATATTATATTCTTAATTTTCAGTATTTTTTATATTATAAAATATTTTATTATAGTAATTTATTAATTTTTTTATTTAACAATCTTGTAAGTTTATATATTTTTTAAATATAAATTAGTTATTTTTTATTAGATTACTTTTGCTTAATTATTTTTTCTAAAATGTGTTTTAATAATTTTTTATTTGGTCTAAATTGTATTCCTATCTCCGTATATTTATTAGTTATTCTATATAATTATTCTTATTTATTATCTAATATTCGTTTCTTTCTTTATTTAAAATATGAAATATGATATATTATTTTCATTTATATGTTACTTTAAATTAGATGTACTTCCAAAATAAGTTTCCATAAAAATTATTAATTTACTCAATAAAAATAAAAATAAATATTTTTATTTTGTAATAGTGAAAATGGAAAGTAGTTTTTCTTTTTTTGAATTGGAATCATAAGAATGAGCTATTAAAATATATTTTAAATTTATTAATTTAATTTGCAAATCTATTAATTATTAATATATTTATTATTATAAATTGCTTTTTTATATAATTTTATAAAAAAATATATATTTAATAAAATATTTAAATTTTTTGTTATTATTTATTTTATTATATATGTTTTTAATTAGTTATTTTTATATTGTTTTGTTTTTTTTAACAAAAATTATACTTATAAATACATTTAAATATATATATTAATATATTTTTATTATATTCTTTTTTAATAGCTAATTTCATAAATTATTAGATTGTTTTTTTTGATGAAACAATCTTTCTAATTATTACATTTTTGCAATTTTTGAAAAAATTAATTTATTTAAAAGTATTATAGCTTAAGACAAAATCTTATTTTCTTATATAAAAACTAATATTTCATCTTCATATTAATCGAATTTTGTATTATTAAATATTAAAGAATCATTATCTTAAATAAGTTAGCGTTATTATTCATTTAATTCAAATAATTCCTATATAAATAATAATAAAAATTAAAAAAAAAAACTCAAAAATTTACAGATATTTATAATTCTAAATCATCAATTTATTATTAATATATTTAGTATTGATTAACATTATGTTCGTCTTATTATAAAATATTGTTTTGAATTTAATTAATCTCAATTAATAAATTTTTATTTTTTTCTAAAAATATAATAAAAACCAATATATATGAAAAAATAATATATTTTATTACATAATTCTACTTAATCTTATATTTCTATAATTTTTAATTAACCTAATTATTAATTTAAAGTTTCATTTAAGGCTTATTCCTCTTATAATTATTATATTTTATTTTTTAATCCCTAATTTTCATAACAGATAAGAAATATTTCGCCATTTATTTTTGATAAATTGAATACTAATTCTCCATATTCATTTTTTAATTATTATATAAAATTATTTAATTCTTTTATTGTATTTTTTTATTATTATATCTAATTATCCTGATTTATTTCTTAAATTTATAATTTTTCATAACTAGGTTAATTTTATAATTATATGTTTATTGAATTTATTATAGGAATATCTGATTAATAATTACTAAAGCTTCTTACTAATTTTTAATTTAAATAGATCAAAGGCTTTAACTTCTATTTATTTGTTGGTTATAATAATTATTATTTTGATAATTTTTCTTTTTTTATGCTATTGCTTTTTAAAAATATTTTTTGTAATGATTAAACTCTTATTTTATCAATAAAGGATTATCTATATTATTAAATTTATAAATATGACATATTTTAAATATATTTTTAATATTTTGTAGATTTTTTAGAGTATGTATTGTTATTTATAATATATTTAAAAATAGTAAGATTGAAAATATAAAATAAGATAAAATTTAATTTATAGTTAAGCTAATTATTTTTATAAAATAAGTAAAATTTTAAACAAATAAACTATATATTTTATGAAAATATATATTAATTAAATATGATTAATTATCTATTTTTTATAAATTTTAAATTATTTCGGCATTTAAAAATATAAATTATTTATAAATAAATAAATATAAATAAAAAATTAAACATTAATTAACAAATAATTTATATTATTTATGTATTATATTATACATATACTTTTTTTTAAATAATATAAATATATATAAAGCTTAACAAAAAAAAAATAAGTAAATAGTTTATAAATATTCGATTTTCATTAATATAATAAAGCCTAATGAACATAAGGAGTAGTTTTAGCTACTTTTTATTTATTGAGTAAATCATTAAAATCTTTAATAGGAATTTTAATATCTTATATAATACTAAAGAAAAGTTCTTCACAAAAATAAGGATCAGACTATTTTTTAAGTAAATTAATAGCATCATCAAATGTAACCATTTTTAATTCTAAATGAAAATAATCAATAAAAGCCAAAGCAGTTTTAAATGCGAAAATTTCACCTTCTAAAAGGAAATTATCCCAAATTCTACAAACAACATTTATATCAAAAACATTAGAAAATAAATTTAAAAACCAGTTCATTAAAAATAATTCAGTGGATAAATCAAGTGCTTTAAAATGCTAATAAACAAGAGGTCTTTTTTAAATTAATATATCATTAAAAAACTAAACTCTCCATTCTATTTCTCTCATATCTCCTCTAAAAAAAGACAAAAAATGATAAGAGTGTAATAAATTTGCAAAACATTTAAATGCACTGTATTCATCCATATTTACTAATAATATTTATACTAAACTTGGCATTGATTCTTTTACGTATCCTATGTCTGGTCTATATAAAATAAAAGAACTTAAGATGTTTTCCAAAGCCTTGTATTCGTTACTATCTTTGAAGTTTTTTTGTAAATCATCTTACATTTTTTATAAAGAGCTTGCTTTTTTATTATTTAAAGAAATTTTTTAAATAAAATATATGAATTCTTTTACATATAATTGGATTTGTGAATTCTTATTTATTAGATTTTAATAAAATTTAATATAGATTTTCAGTTATTTCTAATCGATTTCCTATAGTTAAAGGCCAAATAGTTTTTCTAACCCAAGTAGGAATTCCCATTTACCACAAAGTAATAAGAAGAAGTGATTTATTAGTTTAAAGAGTGATTTCTTCGATATCCTCATAATCTCTTCTATTAATGTATTAATAATCTTCAAGAGATTTATTTTAAGAAATATGATTTTATTATTAATTATTATTAAAATTATTTTCTTTATTATTTTTCTTGGAAAAGAGTCCATAAATACAATTGAAATAATTTTTGTTGGTTTTATTATTTTTTAATTCATATTTAAGTATATTTTTTGGTTTTTGTAAATTATAATCCCAGTGTTCATCCCACTTTGAGAAAATATCAACAAGCCATATTTCGTTTATTCTATTATTGTCTTTTTTCTCTTTAAATTTCATTTTCTTCCTCTCATCCTGATTTTTCGATCTTAAAACATGATATATAAAAGCAATCCATTTAAACTTAGTATCCATATCATTAGTTTATAAATCAAGAGATCTATCAGAAAGGATAATCGAAAAACAAAATTAATCAAATTCCCCTGGAACATTATTTCTTCTCATTACTTCTGTTGAATTAGAACCTAAAGCCAAGTCTAGAACATCTTTTAAATTTATGTGTCTTTGTTTCGTTTTTTATTTTAAGAAGATGATTAGTTTTTATTTGCTGCGTTTTTTATTTATTCGCTTGTTTTTTTATCAATTTCACTCCAAATTATTTATTCTTAACTCTAACTTAACCATGCTTTACGCATATGAGGATTTCCTTATCGTCCGTATTTCAAAATATTCATACCATTTTATAAATAAACAACAAGTTCATTTAATTATTCACCTTCAATTTATTTCCTTATATTATCTATAGGCACTCTCGAATAAATCTTTTCTATATAATTGATTTTTGTCTCAAATTTTTCCCTTACAATATTATCATATAACTATTCAATTAATTCTCTTGAAGCTCCTCCTCTTGTACAAGCAATATTATTCTAAACAAAAGTTTCTTTTTACATCTTATTCTTTTTTTCTATTTTTTCAGAATGGGCATCTACATTTAACATAATTGCGGCATAGCATAATATATAAGGTGTATCATCATCTTTAAAAACTCCTGGATTATCTTTAGTATAAACCTTAGTAAATGCTTGA